TGGAATGTTTGGCTTAAGTGTTGAATGATGGACAAATGAAAGGTGAAGGGATAGCACAATAAATTCCAACAGTGTAAATCACTGTTTTTGATCATCATTTTGGACTCAAAAATCAATTTTTATGGCAAAGAAATGGGAAAAACAATCATCTTTTACCAGCAAAATTGCACCCTGACAAAGTGGGCCTTTGCATGAAAATTTTGAAAAACCAGAGGTAGTGGCTGCTATAAGCTATTCTATTTTTGTTAACTCTAATGCTTCACTGCAACCAGATGTATTGGAACCAAGCTAAAAGCAATCTACCGGAGCACAATTATTTCCTTTGACAAAGAGGTGGGGAATTCTAGGTGCAGAAAACTGCACACACAAGGTCACTCTGTGGTTATTAAAGGAGGGTTCTATCAACAGAGGCATATGTCAGGAAATTATTCTGATATAAAAAAGACATCAATAAAATGTGTTACAAAATAACAATATCTTTATGAAAGAGGGGAATTTGAACTCATGTAGGTGCTCTCAGACCCCAAGGCTACAGATCTTCTAAGAAGTTCTTGCCCCTCAGTGGCTCTATGGGATGATACAAAAGAATAACTGGACAGGGAAGCTGCAAGGCCAACTGGATCTTTCTCGACATGCCCCAAGCACTTGTGAGGACAAGCAGAGTGAAGATAAACCACCTTCAGTAAAGAGATGCATGTCACCACACAAAAGAAAACCCAAATGAAAAGCAAAATGAGATTGGAGACAGCCTGGGCTTCTTCCCAGGGGTTCTTCTGTTCACTCATCTTTTTCCGGATAGCTCCATGCCTGAGGCAAGAAAGCAGCAGAGGGGATCTGTTACAATATTTATCTTTGGAGAAAGATGCATTTAAAGCTAAATGAATTCTTAAGTGAGTTACAGTACATGAATTCCATATTAATAGCAAATTTAGCAATTAATGCAGGCTCCAAGGCATCTGATCATAAAGTGTAAGTAACTTATGTTAGCAATAGTAGGCATAGGAGCAGGACTTGTAATTTCATTGATATAGGAAATTCTCAGATGAGGAAGCTACCTCTAATGACCTGCAGGTCATTACCATCTCTGAACCTTATAGTCTTACAGAGTTGCCTAGAGCAAAAATGTCAAACCTATAGCCCCAAGTTTCATAGGACAGAAAAATTTCCTAATCTAATTGGGAAATGTTTAACACAATAAATAAAAATACAATACAACAGAGATAATTTTAATTTGTGGTTTTCTAATACAATATGCTGCCCCCAGGAATTCATTTCTATTTGAGACGACACCACTGGCCTGGAGCACAGACAGGTTAATATATTGCATATAGTCAAAGAGCCAATGTGTGTCTGCTTGAACCCAGGTCCCTCTGACTTCTAAGCCAGCTCTTTATCCACTATATTTCTCTGCCCCTCTGCCAATAGTAATAACAAAGAAAAAGTTCCTCCTGTAGAGAACTTTCCCAATAATATATTGGAAAGTGCGAACTCTTTTCCTCTAAAAAATACACTGAGATTTCCAAAATTCTCTGAAGAGTAGTCATTTTGATATGAACTCAAAGCAAGTTCTCCAGTGCAGCCCCAGGGATCTGTTCTCAGATTCATGCAGTTTAATCTTTTTATCAATAACTTGGATGAAAACAGAGATGGCAAAATTATCAGATCAGTAGATAATTCATACCTGACAAGGATAAGTAATAGATATGATCAGGGTTCTGGGCCCCACAAGTTAAGAAGGACATTGATAAAACACTCAGAGGATCTAGTATGGCAAAGCAGCTTTAGGTCATGCCATATGAAGATTGCTTAAAGGACCTGGAAATGTTTAGCCTGAAGAAGAGAATACTTAGGAGGAAATATAAGGTCATCAAAATATTTGAAGGGCAGTCATTTGGAAAACTGGTGAGATTTGCTCTGCCTAGGCTCATGAGACATAACAAGGAAAAATGCATCGGAAGTTGCCAAGAGGCAAACGTGGATAGTATGAGAAAAGACTTCCTTCAATGAGCATTCAACAGGGGTCGCCTCAGGACAGAACAAGTTTTCCCCACTGGAGGTCTGCAAGCAAAGACTGGATACTGATCTTCTTAGGATATCAGAGCATGGATTCTCATTCTGGTAGATGTTGGACTCGGCCTCTGAAAGGCATTCTTACTCTGTAATTCCTTGATTCTGTGATTCTGAGTGGATATCCCAAAAGATCTTGACACATTAGCACATTAGACCATAGTTAATGATAAGAAATGCAACAGGGATAAACGTAAAGTTATGTATTTGAACTAAAAAATCAACTTCCCAAGGGTAAGATGGAAGGAGAATGGTGAAGACTTTTGTGGACTTCAAGTTCAATGAATGGAAAGTGTGACATGGTGATCAAAAACACCAATTTGATCTTGGGTTACTTTAAAAGTGGCACAGCTCCAGAAAAGGGATCTGATACAGCCAGCCCTGCTATATTCTGCCATAGGCAGATCTCATCAGAAATATTGTTGCTTTCTGAGCACCAAATTTTAGGAAGGATTTTATAAACTGTAGAGTGTCCAGAGGAATGTAACCAGGATGATGAAAGGCCTCAAGATCATTCCATATGAGAATCAGTTGAAAAAACTGGAGATGTTTAATAATATTCATGATAGTGGTCATAGTAGCTAGCATATACATATATAGACACATATATACACAACATACGTGTGTGTGTATATATATATAGAGAGAGAGACAGAGAGAGAGAGAGAGAGAGAGAATAGAAGCATTTTAAGGTTTGAAAAGCACTGTACACATATTACATCATTTGATCCTTACAAAAATCCTGAAAAGTAGGTGTTATTATTCTCTCCATTATACAGATGAAGAAACTGAGGCTGAAAAGTTAAACAATTTGCCCAGGGTTACACAGCTGGAAAGTGTCTAAGACCAGATTTGAACTCAGGCCTCCCTGACTCTAACTCTCATACTCTATCCACTGCACCACCTGGCTGACTCTTGGTTTAATATGAAGAAGACTCAAGAGAAACAGGCAGGGTAGCTATCCTCAAGTATCTGAAGATTTCTCATATGAAAGAGGGCAAAGACTTGTTCTTTGGAGACCCAGAGGGCAGAATTCAAAGCAATTGTTGAAAGCTGCAGAGGTGGGTTTAAGTCTGGAATTAGAACAAACCTCTTAACAATTAGAGGTGTCTAGTTAGGGCTGCCTGAGTAAGTTATGAGCCCTCTCTGTGGGTTTTCAAGCCTGAGTAAGTTATGAGCCCTCTCTGTGGGTTTTCAAGTGAAAGCTCAATGATAATTTGCCAGGTATGTTTTAGATAGGGTTCTTACCCAAGCATGGCTTAGACCAAATGTCCACCAAGATACAACCATGAGACCTATGATTCTAGAAATTTTTCATTAAATCAGTGTGCTTTTAACTTCAATCAGCAGCATTTATGAAGTGCCTACTATGTGCCAGGCACTGTGTGAATACTGGAAACAAGTATCACAACAGACATCAGTGAGGTGTAGAGAAATCATTTTCATCTCCCCTCTCAAAAGCATCTTGCTTCGATCCCACCAGGCTGGCAGCGCTCTTCCATTTTTAAATAGTTCTTAAGACTCTTATTCTCCCAATTACTTCCCAGGAAATTTCCCTTCTTCTCTCAAGGTAAGGGCATAATTAGTGCAATTAATCATTCATATAAAACAAGGAACTATTCAAACAACTCAATGTGTGAATGGCAGCAAAGCAACCTAACCATCCTCCCATTTCCTTTAAATTTCTGGCCTCAATTATGGGAAGCCAAGGTATGGAAGTGGGACCCTGGAGAAACAGGTGGAAAGTAAAAGCACATGATTGAAAAATCTTTTCACAAAGATCCTGAATGTAGCCAACATGTTCTTTGACCTCTCAGCAACAGTGGTAGAAGTTTCTCTAGCATTTCTGGGGATAGTACCTCAATTGCTGAACACATTAGTGATCCCAAACTACCTAAATCATTTACTACTTCTTAGGAATTATTCTACCTACCTGAATCTTTCAGTCTGGATCCAGTTTTAATGACCAGGTGACCTTGCAAGTCATTAACCTGATTCATTCAACAGGAAGGATCAGGAACAGAGGCATCTAACCTCTGCCTTGTTGAAATCCTGAGGAAGTACCAAGCTCTCTATGGTTCTTGGGTAGCTATGGTGGTCTAAAGAGCGTGATTAGCATGGATTGAACAATTCAATTAGCTCTGAACTTCCACTTAATAAGAAAACTCCTCCCCCTCCTCAAACTTGTGTATTTCACTGAGTACTAGTCACATGACAGGAATATAATAGAGCTGCTTCCCCATATTAAATGGCAGAATGTGATTAACTGTCTATGTAATTCTACCTTTTGCATAGAATCAAAAAAAAAATAAGTTAAATCACATATAATAGAACATCTGTGACTGCAGACACCACCAGACCTAGGCAGCTCTGGCACAATACCGAGGAGGTTACTCTGCACCCAGGAGTTCTAGGGAAGACCTCGATTGGTTGAACTCTCCAGGACTGCCTCACCTGCAAGTAGGCAAAGGAGTATAGGATGCACAACATAATAAGTTGCAGGTATTTGACTTGCTCTTTCAATAAGGCCTGGAAGAACATCCAAGAATTCTGTACTTGGCTCTCAGCTCCTCCTCCTTGCACAGAGACACTACCTCGGAATGTGATGCAGACTACAGCTCCTCAAGGCAGGCGGTGTTGGTGTTGTTTTCATTCAGCACCCTATCAGGGACAGTGATCTCCAATTGTTTCTTGCCAGTTAGCTCACCATTCAGGAGCAGGAAGAAGGAACTTAGAATAGCAGACCACAGCAAAAAGAAGACTGCTCCTGCCATTCTGCACTGGCCTCTTCCTCTATGTCTCTCTTCTTGTTCCTTGCTACTACGTCTCCTCACTCACATGGGATGCTCTTCTGTTCCCCAACTCCCACCCTCAGCCAAAGACCAGACATTTGATGCAGACAAAGAAGGACTTAAGGGCAAGAAGGGGCTCACCCAAAGAATGAAACATCTTTTGCAGAGGCCAGGGAGGCCTGCACACCCAGCCCTCCTTGTGATCCTCCATCTCCTGCACAGTAGCTAAGAGGTAGCAGGAACAGTAAATGCCACCAGGAGGCGATCATTGGAGATGACAGTGGCTTCTTGAGCTCTTTTTCCCCTAGAAGTACTGAGGGTGACATTAGAAGCAGCAACTAAGGCAGTCACGCTGCCCCCAATAGGATAATACCTTGTGATGGCAACAAACTACACCTTCATCTCATACAGCTAAGAATACAGCCGTCCAGCCTGCACTCTGAGTCACCTCATATTTTTATGAGCAGGAAAAAATAATAATATGATCCCCCACTATATAATAGATACTTGATTTTTATTATCATTGAGTTCAATCAGACTTAAGACCCACTGTGCATGGAAAACTAAAAGTTACCTTACTAAATTTAATGAAGATTGAACCTATAATGAAGCTATTTAGTCAACTATTAAATAGAAGCTAAAAGAACCTAATCAAAATTAAATGCAAATGCCTAATAATAAGATTGCTATCGCTACAAAGCAGCCACAGAACCTAGACTAACTAGGACAGTGCACACTTATAGGCATAGAGACACAGTCCTGCTTTACACTGATCCTTTATTCTAAACCTTTCATTTTGCCTTACCTATCCTATATCTATCCTTCCCCCTCACTGTGACCCTCCAATTCAATCTCCCAGCCCATCACCCCTCTTCTGGTCTTCCTCCCTTTCCTTCATAGTAGTAACCTTATTGACCAATTCAACTACACATTTTTGGCTAACTTTGAATTCTTTAGCTCTTGTCCTTATCTCATCACCAGACAAGCTTTACCAAATCTCAACTCTGGATTACCCCCGACTAACCTCCCTGTTTATATTTATGTGCTAATGAATAGACCTTGAGTATGTCTTGTAACCATGCCAAATGTGGAAATAGGATTGGTCTCTCTTTGATCAGGCTGCTCAATATATGGTGGTGAGTGAGAACGTAGGTGGAAAGGTCAGCTGAGGCTGAGAAAGATGGCACAGCAATAGCCAACATGCTGGAGGGGCCTGGGTCTTTCTCCTCTGGCACCTTCACTGTTGTGAGGATCAGGAGCTCATAGGGATTGGTGATTTTCTGTGCATTTGTGGCTTGTGCTGCTCCAGAACCCAAAAAGAGTGAGTAGTGGCAGCCGGTGGACAAAGCTGGAGGAAGAAGGGGTGGGGATGTTGTGTTTCAGATCCAGTCCAGAGTTATTTATCTAAAAGGTACCTGCTTGGGCTTAATCCCAATTCCCATTCTAGAAAAGAGATATCCAGCAGTGAAGACGCTGGGAGACTTGGGCTCAGAGTCACACCTTAGAGTGTGTGGACACTCTAAGGACACTGGATGCCTTTCCATTTTCAGTTACTGAATCCACCCATTTTCTGATCTCAAGGTGTTGATCCATAGCTCATGCTTGGCCTTCTCCCCAAGGGAGTGGATCTTATAAACTGTGTTGTTGTTAACAATAATTACAAATAAAATTGCATAGAACATATAGTCACTTATAACATATCCTCTTTCCCCCTCCTTTTCCTTTGCCCATTTCTTCCCTCTTTCCTGAGGTTCGTCATTACTCTCCAGAATATAATGTTATTAAAAGCAGCTAGTCTTCTGCCATACTGAATTTATTTCAAAAGAAAAACAGCATCAAGAACATAACTCCCATGAAAATTCCAGTGTCTTTTTGAAGATGACAGGCTAAAAGTGTACAAACCTAATTACAACAGGATTGCTAAGGTTCTATATACTCTAAATAAAAAGGAATGCTCAACCCCAATACATATAGTCTCCTATCACCTTATTTCTGGGGCCCTTGTTCACATTCAATCTGCCCACTGCCCACCCCATTCCCCAAGAAGAATTCCCCTAAAGAATGTCCATTAAGTTCATTCTTTAGCTTTCCTTTTTTTTCTGCCACCAACATATTGGGTCAGTTTAGATCTGAAACGACAGCATTTAAATAAGTGCTCTTGTACATTCTTTCAAATGTGTTCTATACTAAGACCACCACTTGAAGAGAAAAACAGAGTTCATTCCTTTCAAGACATCATTATGTCAGGAGCTAGCTTCACGTTAATCTTTTCAACATGAAATATACAAACTGCCTTACAAATTTTTGACTATTTTAAAATATTATTTCCTTGACACAGGCTAATAAAAAGAATCTACATTCAGATCACCTGTTGAGATAACTAATGATTCATTTTTCACCTCACTTGTACTTAAGGAAAAGTCGATTTTTGGCAGTGTTAGCTTTTAAATTTTTCAATGATACCTCTTTATGCATATGATATTATGAATATAAGACCCAACTTGAAAATACATACATATGTGTATATTAAAGTCATATTTCAAAAATAATAATAGTTTGATTTTTTCATTCCATTTTATTCATTATTCTATATTATTTTACTATATGGTAACACTAGGACACTGTGTTGCAGAATACTGCATAATGGTCTACCATAGGCATTCCATGGTCAATACAGACCAGTAGTAAGACTTAAAGAAAACAGACATCTAAATACCTACATTTAAAGGCCTATATGGCTAATAATGTCTCATTACACTTTATACTGTGATGATCTAAATTTAATTTTTTCTTAAACCAGTAGAGATTAAGATTAATCATGCACAGTAGAACCAGAACTTACTCTTTTCTTGGCTTTTATGGCAGCTTTAATATTTGCTTCAGGTTTGTCCACTAAAGGCATCCCTATAAAATATTGAGAAAAGAGCAAATTTAGCAATCACTTATTAAATACCTACTGTGTGCTGAATGCTATGCTAGGTGCTGTTGGAAATACCAAACTTAGATAAGAGCTGATTCCTGACATAATGGAGTATACTATATAGCTTAGTAGATGAGCAAGATACACACACGGGACATAATGATGCTGGTTGGTTGTTTGTTCGTCGTTCTTTCTTGAAAAGGACCAAAATGGCATCACAATGTTGAAGTCAAGGTACAGCGTGTCTAACTGTGGCTGATCAGACCAATACAAACTCAGAAGGCTCTACCACAGGTTGGGCACAAATAGCCCCCATGAACATTTGGAGTGGAAAAGTCTAAACCTGCACATCTCGCGTTTCTTTTGACCTACTGCTGTCACGCTTCACTCATACAGCACAGAACCTTCTTTGATTGCAGCATGCTGAGATAGGCAGTCCTTTGTCAGTATCTCCCAAGCCACACAACTGATTCCAAAGTTCTTCAGAGTGACCTTGAGAGTGTCCTTGTATCACGTCTTCTGACCACCACCTGAGTGCCTGCTTTGTGTGAGTTCTCCATAAAATAGCCTTTTAGGCAAGCCTATGTTTGGTATGCAAACAACACGGCCAGCCCATTGGAGATGTGCTCTCTGCAGTAGAGTTTGAATGAGTAACAGTTTAGCTCAAGAAAGGACTTCAGTGTCCAGTGCCTTATCTTGCCAGGTGATCTTCAGAATCTTCCTAAGACAATTCAAAAGGAAGCAATTCAGTTTCCTGGCATGGCACTCCTAGACTGTCTAGGTTTCACAGGCACACAACAAGGTCAGCACATGGCTCTGTGAACCTCCAGTTTGGTAGGCAGTCTAACACCTCTTCTCTCCCACACTTTCCTTTGGAGTCTCCCAAACACTAAGCTAGCTCTGGCAATGCATGCGTCAACTTAATCATCTAATGTGTGCATCCCTGGAAAGTATACTACCAAGTTAAGTAAACTTATCTACAGTATTCAGATTTTCTCCATTTGCTATAATCAATGGTTCCACATATGGATGGTATGGTGCTGACTGATGGAGAACCTGTGTTTTCTTGGTGTTGTTAGGCCAAAGTTAGCACAAATAGCAGAAAATTGATCCATACTTTGTTGCATCTCAGCTTCAGAGGCTGCACTGAGTGCACAATCATCTGTGAACAAAAAATCATGCACCAACACTCCCTCCATTTTAGTCTCGGCTTGTAGCCTTTTCAAATTAAATAATTTATACACAACATTTTGGATACACAACATGTATATTTAAAAAAAGTGCAAAACAGTTACCTGTGAAGTCCAAGAGAGAAAATCATTGACAACAGAAGACTCAAAGAAAGCTTCTTAAAGGAGGCATCATCTAAGTTGTGTTTAAAGGATGGGGAAAAATTCCAAAGATTAAGGGAGGGGGGAAGGTGAACATTCTAGGCATTCAGAACCACCTGAACAAAGAAACACGGGTGAAAAGTGCAGTGTGTGTCAGGGTATAGAGAGCAATATAGTTATATTGTATGGAAGAGAATTGAGGGCAGTGAGGTGATGTAGTGGATAGAATACTGGAATCAGGAAGACTCATCTTCCTGAGCTCAAATCTGGCCTCAGATATTCACTCGTTGTGCAACCCCAAGCAACTTAACACTTAACCCTGTTTGCCTCAGTTTCCTCATCTGGAAAATGAGATGGAGAAAGAAATGGAAAACCACTTCAGTATCTTTGCCAAGAAAACCCCAATGGGGTCACAAAGAGTTGGACATGACTGAAAAATGACTCAACCACAAAAACAACAATATGAGATAAAACTGGATAGTGACAGATGATTGATCTTGAATGTCAAGCAAAGAGACTTTATTCAGTATGGAATAAGCACTAGTAAAGATTCCAGAGCATGATCTATCTATCTAGGTCTAGCTTGATCCCTAAGAGAAACTGCTCTGGTAATAGGACTTGGGATACACAGGAAGGTGAAGGCCTGGAAGACCTGTTAGCAAGCTCCTGCAATGCACCAAGGATGTGGTGATGAGGGCCTCTAGTAGTGGAGTAGCAGTGGGAGTATAGAGAAAGTGATAGATGTAAAAGATGTGGAGACACCATCAATAGGATCTGGTGAGTGACTAGGTTTGACTAGGGAGGGAAAACTCAAAGATAATACCAAGGACTCTGGTAGAACCACTGAAAAAATGACAAAATTTAACCTAGCAAATCAGATTAAACTATAATCAAACTTACACATTTTTTTCAATATCACTGACTCTAAGTAAAACTTTAACACCAAAACAATCCCCAAACTAAATTTGAACCAAAGTTACATGTAATATCCTGTAATAAACACAGCACAAATACCAAACTATGTTTTCAGTCATCAGAGTTATTTTTCTATTACTGAAGATGAATTTTCCACCATCAAATGAAATTATCTAACTTGAATTTTGTCAAAAAAAATGGCCTAAAATAATTTTTTTTTGTTTTTGTTTTTGGTTTTTGTCTTTTTTGGGGGGGAGCTAGGCAATGGTGTTGAGTGACTTTCCCAAGGTCACACAGCTAGTAAGTGTTATGTGTCTGAGGCCGGATTTGAACTCAGGTCCTCCTGAATTCAGGGCTGGTGCTCTATCCACTGCGCCACCTAGCTGCCCATAAAATAATTTTGAAATATATTTATTGAAATGTATAAATGATACTGCTATCTACAACTTTCAAAATCTACCTGGAAATGGAATGAAAATTGATTTAAACTAGGTAACTGTGATATATATAATTTAGACCCCAAATCTGCAACACATACTCAAAAGTCATATTAGTGTTTTCACAATGAAATGGAATAATGTTCCTTAGCACTGTCAGGAATTACCCTACTTTTCAAAGAATGTGGTTAAATCCTAATGAAAATCTTTCAAAGTTTAAAATTATAAGCAAGCTTCCTATACCATCATAGCAACTCAAGGTTCAAACTCAGTAACTCTATCTACCTTCTACAAGCTGAATTTTTCCTTAGTGGTAAAGATGTAATTTCCTCTCTTAGGAAATTTCTATTATCTATAGAGACTTTAAACTTATAGAGTAAAAAGAAACATTTAACAGGAAGTATAGATTAAAATAATGAGAAATAGCTTCACAATATATTACACTTCTCTTTTGATCTATGTCCAAGTAATTTTATTTATTAAGTGCATAAGAAGAATTGCAGATAATAAATGAAAATATTCCAAATGAGTAGAATCAGTCATGACTCATGCCATTTGCAGAGGGTGTGGACAGGAAGAACCTGGCCAACCTCACAAGGTTAAAGGGTGATGCCTTTGTTCTGGTTTTAACAGTATCTTACTGTATAAAATACTTGAACTTCCCCTGTAGATACCACATTTGGTACTTCATAACATTTCCTTGATGGAACGGGATAAGCACCTTTACCAATGACATGATAATGAGGATGACTGAGTCAAAGCATTCAGAGATGAATAAACTATAGCCAGTGTGCAACTGAGCTATGCCTTTGGACCTGTCCTTTAAAGGGAGGCAGAAAACAGTTCACGGCTGAACCCAGACAGAGACCCTGCAAGGTTGAGAAGACTTCGGTCCCTGAGGTGGGCAGGGAAACTGCTTATCCATGCAGACTTCTAAAGGGAATCACTTGATTTTAGAGAGATATTTTAGCCTTGGAGCGCGAGTGGCAGAGAAAGGAGGGGGGGTCTTGGAGGAGGAAGCACCCAGTAGAGGATTTCCTAGACCACTTTTATATCTCAAGAGATGGTTCAGTCATCTAAATTTTGTTTTCAGATACCATTTTCTCAATTCACAACTCGCTTACCAAATCTACTTTTTCTTCAGTTAGTAAGTATTAGTGAAGAAATACTACCCTCTTTCCACTGTGTTCAATTTCAACCCTGACCTCATAATCCCTAGCAATGTTTTCTAGATTCCTTCTACCAATACCATTCGCCCCCAACAGAAATCACCAAAGGGATGAAATTGCTTTTGGGTTTTACAAATCTCAGGTGATGTTGTCTAGGTTCTGGATTCACACATTTGTTTGCTACCAAGACCTCTTATTCTTCATATCAGGTAGACATGATGCATGACTCCCACCACTCAGGTTTTGGGAACTTTGAATATATGGAGCTCTAAGAGCAAGAGAGCTAGGTTTTCCTCCTTGTGTGGAAAGATTTCTTCCCCAGATGTTCCTGCAGAAGTGCCTGGCTAGCTCAGACTCAATTTCAAAGCTGTGAGTCCATATGGATGTTGGAACTTTGGAGACATAGTGAGGCATAAAGATCTCTGACCTTGGAGTCACGAAGTAGTAAGCTCAAGTTCTGTCCCTGACACAAATTGGCCCACATCTATGCTCTTACCAGAGCTGCCTACTTGCCAAGGGAGTACTTGATTGTAGTTCTTTCAGGGATATTTGGTGGGCTGACCCCCAAAATCAACTCTTCAAACTTTGCCATTGTCTGGATGGCAATGTTATTCTTACATCGTCCAGGTTTGGAACCTTAGACTAGGGGCAGCTAGATGGTGCAGTGGATAGAGCACGGGCCCTGGATTCAGGAGGACCTGAGTTCAAATCCAGCCTCAGACACATAACACTTACTAGCTGTGTGACCTTGGGCAAGTCACTTAGCCCCATTGCCTAGCCAAAAAGAAAAAAAAAAGGAACCTTAGACTAATACATGACTCTTCCCTCTCACTCAACTCTATAGCAAACTAGTTGCCAAGTTTTGCCAATCAAATTTCCATAACATCTCTCATATTTGTCCCCTCTGTTCAACTCTCAAAGCCTCTCCTCTAGTTCATTATCTCCAGTCTAGCTTATTGACCCTCCCAGGCTCTAAGCTCTTACCTACTATTTTCCACACAACTTCCAAATTAATATTTAAAACCCAGGTCTGACCCCTACCTGAAAGCATTCAAAGGTTCTCTATTGCCTGTAAGATACAATACAAAATTGTCAGTCTAGCATTTTTATATATTTTTCTACAATCTAGCTCCCACCTACTTTGCCAAGTGGCAAGGTAATCATCTTCATCATCATCATCTTCTTCTTCTTCTTCTTCTTCTTCTTCTTCTTCTTCTTCTTCTTCTTCTTCCTTCTTCTTCTTCTTCTTCTCCTTCTTCTCCTTCTTCTTCTACTACTCCTACTCCTACTCCTACTCCTACTCCTACTACTACTACTACTACTACTACTACTACTACTACTTGTTCATGCTTTGTTTTGAAGAAGACCAACGACATCACAGGGTGATGTCTTGGCTTTCAAGTGAATTGGATTTAAGTGAGGAAGAGTTGCACAAAATCTTCAGCATCACTCTCTCTTCCAGAGTTCTCCCTGAACAACCCATATGCCTTACTACTACTACTACTACTACTACTACTACTACTACTACTACTACTACTACTACTACTACTACTACCACTACTATACTATATACTATATACATACTATTGATATACTACTACTGTATTGTGATATATTACAACTAGTAATAGCTAATGATAGCTAATATTTACATAGCTTTAAAGTTTGCAAACTTTAAACACTCTAATATGTTCTCATTTAATATAAAAATAAAGAAGTCAATAAAAATTTATTTTAAAGAAAATGCTCAGAGTACCCATATATATGATAGTGAGGTACCTGGAAGTCAGCTTGAGAATGATGAGTAGGATGACAGAGAATGAAAAGTAGGTGTTGGAGGCATGAGTAAAGGAGCTTCTCACAGGAATGTGGAGGTTGGGGGCCACAAGTGTGTTCTGGGACTGGAAGTTGGTGTGAGAGTGGAGAGCATGCCAAAAAAATCAGGGTGAGGGCTGAGATCTTGAAATGGCTATGCTTCATTTTAGAGGTATAATAAGAATACATACTGAAGCATTCTGCTACTTGAGGATGAAAACTAACAGAAGAGTGGCCTAGGAGTAGAAAATGTACATGGCTTCTGGCATGGTTGCTAGGCCAAGGTAGATAGGTGGCCCAGTAGATATAGAGTTTGAATATTGACTCATATTCTTACTAGCTGTGTGATCCAGGGCAAATCATTTATGCCTCAGTTTCCCCCTCTGTAAAACAAGGACAATAATAATACCTACCTCCTCCCAGGGTTGTAAGGATAAAGTGATATATTTCTAAAGCACTTTGTAAACCTTAAAACATTCTATAAAAGTTAGCTACTATTAGTAATAATAGAAATCGTAGTAGTAGCAAAAGGAGCAACTCCCTTAGTACATGCCCATAAAGAAGAAACAATAAGAGCCATAAGTGAAGGTTTCATCTAGGTGTATGCACTCTCTCCTCAACCCCCAACCCCAGCAGGGATTTGATTCCCTGGCCTCAACCCCAACTTGGTCGATGTCATCACTGGGTATAATCATAGAAGATGACAGTCAATCAACAAGCATCCAAAGTGCTTACTATGCCCAGTGGGGATCTTTTGTGAGGGCATAAAAGACATGCTTTTTAAAATTACCATCCTAGTGAAAGCTGTGATACAATAACGAGATTTCTAAATCCTGTTTAATGAGAGGTTTATTTTAAGAAAGGGTTAATCCAACAAAATCATGGAATCTTATGAGATAGAAAGAAGCTTAGAGAGGCTGTCTCGTCCAGCCTCTCAGCCAACACGTGAGTTCTCTCTATAACACACACTAGATTTTGTTACTCAGTCTCTGTTGGAACACTTCCAGTGAGAAATGTGGTCGTTTTTATAAAGTGCTGACAAACCTTAAAGCACCATATAAATCCTAAGTGATGATGATGATGATAATGATGAAGATGATTAAGAATTCTTTATGAAAGTAGTTCAATCTGTAACTGGAAAGCCCTATTTTTTAAAGAGCGCATGAAACTCTTTCCTTGAAACTTCTAACCATTCTAATCCAACAAGTCATTAGTACTGATTCAAAAGTATCTCAGTTCCTTGGAGTTTGCTCTAACAGGACTTGCCCTACATTTGCATAGTGTTTACCTACCATAGAGAAATTGGAAATTGAATCATTCTACAGAATACTATTTGATACCTAGTAAGAAAAGTTTCTCTGAATTCTGGAAAAGGCTACCTTCTGTAGAAAGCATAGCCAAGTTGTCTATGGGGATTAAAACATTTCACTTTTAGGGATAAAAGAAAAAAAAATTCAAGGTGAGATTAATAGCTTCAGGGCTTGCTTTAGGATAAATGAAGCAGCCTGGGTCCTGAAGCTCTCAAAGTTGGAAGGCAACATCAAATAAAAGAAAGAAAGAAGGGAGTGAGTGACACATTGCCTGCATCCAGACTTTTTAAAAGTGACAGTCAACATTCTGAGTAGGACAGACGCATATTTTCCAATGGCCCCTTGGGCCGCAATTATCCCTAGCCACTTCTTTTTATTAGCGTGTCAAACATGAGACTCAAAAATATTAAGGATATTTAGGAGAAATAAAATGGCTATGTTGACTTGCTGGGAAAAAAAATAAGAGTGGCATTACCGCCCACTCAATGACATCACAACTGCCAGTGTTGTTTCGGAAATCTGAGAATTTTCACTAAAAATAACTCCTTAAAAATATGTCCTTATCCAGCTCAAAAAAAAAAAAGTTCCAATATTGCTGTGGACTTTCTTTTTAAAATGTATAACTGCTTTTGGCATGTTGGAAGACATTTACTTTACAAATACTGCAGAACAAGCCCTCATAACATTGAGTTTACAGTATAGGTAGATAGATAATTTTTTAAATTTCTTAATTCTATGGCTTTTAATTTTGAACTAAGAGATCCTGAGATCCACAAGAGGGCCTATGAACATATTCAAAGAGAACAAATGGAAAGAGGTGTTTGATAAAAATAATCCCACGTAACATTTTGTTTTGTTCATCCAGCTTATAATTCAATATAGATGTATCCACATACATATATATGTTTGTATGTATATGTGTCAGTGTATATACATAGAATCAGGCGCACACATACACAGAGACTTATGACTCAAAGTCTCTTGACTCACTCTTAATTTTGGAAATAAAACTGACCATACCTCTTTTCGATAGAAGACACATCTCCAGTCTTTGCTCATGAGAAAATGCATATAATAGGTACGCTTCTTGTAGAGCACTTTCATACCATCTTTTATTAAATTTGCATTTTTCTGCCTGTGAAAATTCAGAAACAGAATCAGATTCTTTTAAAAAAAAAACTTAAATGTTTTAGAATTACCTTAATTTGTTTAGCTATACTGGTCTAAAATTCTATCTAATTTTATGCATTGTACTTTAGATTTCTATTTTTGTATCCAGTTCCTATTTGACAGAGCATTTTTAGATATGGCAAAATCTGTGGAAAGTTTTCATATTAACACTCAAAGTCACCAGGATCATATGCTACAACAGAAATCACCTCAAATTTAGGAGGTTATAGACAAATATAATCTACTCAAGATATACTACAAAGAATGAATATATGTTAATAAAAATAATTGGTTAAATTTGCAAGAGTCAGAAAAATGACTTAAATGGTAAAAAGCTATGATAAAAATGATCACATGAAATTTCACATTCTTCTTTAGTTGTAGCTGTATAATATGAATTATTTTGACTTCATTACACTTCTACAAAACTTAAGTACGTCACTCTTCCCAAAGTTTTATTAGCTTAATTGTTGTGTATTTTTAAACTGCAAACTAAAAAATTGCAAAGTATACTTTTTAAAGACTTTAAAAATTTTTAACGTTAAGGTACTAAAAACATTCAAATGTTTGGGTTTATGGTTCTCTCTCCCCTGAAAAACTACTATAAAATACAAACTAATATTTTAACCTTTTTATCCCTTACAGTGATTACTTAAAGGAGATCACATTTCTGCTTCAAGGACATAAGGTAATTGGAATCCCATTCCTCCATGAAGGAATAGTAATGATAACTCATAAACACAATTAATTACAGAACCTCAGAATGGGAAGGGCCCTTTTGGACATTTTCATCTAATGTACCCTACACTAGAATGGGAAAGCCTTCTAGAACTTTCTAATCAAGTGAATCTAATCTTCCAGGAAACTATGACCTCCGGAAGACAGCCTGTGTTGCCATTGGGCAACTAATTGTAGAAACTTTTTCCTTGCATCAACCTCCTGTTGCTCCCAGCTCTGCCTTCTGAGTCCAAGCAGAATAAGTCAAATCCCACATGACATCCTTTCAAACACTTCAAAGACCTAGCATATCACCCTTATCTTCTCTGATTGAGGTTAAACATCCACAGCTCCTTCCACCAATTCTGGCTTGATACTGAAGCCCTTACCATTCCCGTAGCCTTCTTCTAGATGCATTCCAGTTTATCAATGTCCTAGATATGGGTATGTATACTTTACACACACATGTGTATGTACATATAGCTAAGTATTGGAGTGAACAGATCAATGTTCACATATGTCTATAATCAATTCAGAGGTATGTACTAAGTATAAGTACACAGTTGAGTTCAAGGGCCTGAGTTTAAAGGACTGATTCATTTGGAGGGAAATAAGGAAATAATATTATTCTGCCAATCTAAGAATCTCTCGGTTTTCTATGAGAATCCCACTTGCCTCATTCTATATGATACATTGTACTAAATATTCTCAGTTTCAAGTAACAGATATGGGTATGAATGAGATAACATTCAGAATCAATAGTATCAATTTTAGCAAAATGTTACAGGGGCCTCCCATGACACTATGAGAGGCTCCATTTTAGACATGGCTTCCCAGATTCATATGAGTAGAGATGGAAGGGAACTAAAAGGCCATCTTCTCCAACCCTTTGATTTACAGATGAAGACACACAGAGGCAAAGAAAGGTGAAGGGACTTGCCCAAAGCTACACAGGGATTCTAGTCAGGGCCAGAGCCAGGATTCAAACCCAAGTCCTCAGACTTCAAATTCAAGACTCTTTTTACTTGTGCCTTAACTGCCTCTGGTGGAAGAAAACTACATTCCTGACTCAAGTCCCCATTCTGTGCAGAACAGATCAGGCAAAGATCACAAATCAAATGATAAGACATTTACAATCATAGATTTAGAGCTGGAAGGAACCTTAGAAATCACCTCTGACCCTCTCATATTCTAGATGTGAGAAACCTGGTTTCTAGAGGAAACCAGGGCTTGGCAAGGTCACTCCCCTGGGAAAAGTAACCAAGTCCCTTGGGGTGATGGTGGGGAAGGAACTCTCACTCTGACGACCGTGGGGGCAGGACTTTCTTGAGTCCCTCTAGAAAGGCTCTCAGAACAACTCTGTGCCTCCCCTGTAGAGACCGTGGAGGAAGTGGTTGGGAGCACAGATGCTTGCAGCTCCCTGCCTCCTCAGCTATTCCTGAACCTCTCAGAGGTCCTCAGAGCCTCACTCTGCTCTGCCCCAGACCACCTTGGCTCATAATTAGAGCCTTGACACTGGTCAGTGCCAATGATGTTCACCTCGTTCTTGCTTGCTGCTATTCCATGAGATCTGACTTGCTCCTGTATCGTGCTTCACTCAGAGGTTCCTTGGCCTTCAGACCCTGCCCCCTCCTTGCTCACCCCCAGCTGCATGCCTTGATGTTCTTATAGAATAAGCTCTCTCAGAGACTGCTGAGCCTGGTGGCACTACAAGAGGACACCAGAGGCAGTTGTCATGAGATATCTCCCCAAGCCTCTCCACCATGGTTCTGGAACCCAGACTCTTAACTGAATAATAGTAAATGACTTTCTTAAGCTTTTCTGCTGTATACAACTCCCCACACTATCCAACCTCACACTGCAGTTTTCTGAGGCTGGAGATAAACACTGATTCACCTTCCCATCATGCACACGTGTTTCAGGCTCTGCTAAGGCTCAAGGAGGAAAGGGTCAAAATACTGCTGGGGGCTGAGGCACAGGCATCAAGACCTGTGTGGGTGGAATTGTTGCTCCAGCAAAGTCCTGTCCCCCTGACAAAAAGGATATTTAAAACTCTTCATTTTGTTCTTTTAAACTAGTTATTGAAGAGACCAAAGATCAGGCATCTTTCTTAGCTCTGGCTTTGTACACTTGGTAGGAGATAATTAAGCTTAACCGTCTAATTTTGTCACGGCCCCCTCAGACAAAAAGATTTCAACCTCGGCCCATCCCATCTCTACCCACTCTGTCTTTTACTTGAGGCTAGCTTGGGTTTGTTCCAAAAAACTCATAACAAATCCTGAAAGGCTAAGCTCTCTTCATTTAGGAGTTAACTGATATTCATGGTCAAATCTAGAACTCTACATCTTTGTAATGTTGAGGGGAACGTGGCAGAGTGGGAAGAGCACTTGCTCTGGAGTCAGAAGGCCACGGTTTGCTTCTTAACTCAGTGACCTTGACCAAATCCCTGAACTTCTCTGAATCTTAGTATTTTCATTTGTAAAATATGGATAATATTTTTGCTACTGATTTCATAGGGGTGGTTTGAGGAAAGTGTTTCATAATCTGTAAAGTAGAGTATAAATGGGTGCTATTACATTTGTAATCTTTCACAGAGTCAAAAGGAATACATTTCTGTTTCTGGAATAGAATGAACAATATTAAGTGCAGGGTGGAAAAAAGTACAGTCTGTAGATATTTTTCTGGAACAGAAAAGGAGAAAGGAGAGAGAAAATGAGAGGAGGAGAAGAGATGGAGTCAGTTGGTTAATAAGCATTTATTAAGCACCTACTGTGTGCCAGGAACTGTGCTAAGCTGGGGATACAAAGAAAGGCAAAAAGCAATGCCTGCTCTCAAGGAGCTCCCTATCTAATGGAAGGGTAGAAAGGGATTGAGGAGGGAAGAAAAAAGGAGGAGGAGCCTATTGCTACTCATGATACAAATAATAACTTAAATTTCTTTTTAACAAAATTGGCCCTTACAAGTTTGCTGTTCAGTCATTTCAGCTGTGTCCGACTCATCGTGACCCCATTTGGGGTTTGGTTGGCAAAGATACTGGAATGGTTTGCCATTTCCTCCTCCAGCTCATCTGATAGATGAGGAAGGTGAGGCCAGCAGGGTTAAGTGATTTGTCCAGGGTCACACAGTTAGTAAGTGTCTGAGACTAGATTTGAACGAAGGAAGATGAGCTGCCCCTTGTCACTAAGCTGCCCCTCCTTACAAGTTTAGGGCATTTTAATACTAAAGTGATAATCAAAAAGCATAGAATACAGAAAATCTAAAATTAAACACCTGATAAAACACTGAGAACTTCAAGTCAAGTCATTTCTTTGAGAAATACCAGTTTGGAAAAGCTATCAGAAACACTTCACCAATAACTTTAAGAAGTGAAGAAAACAAACATGGTATTTGAGAACCCTTAGGAACTCCCCAGTAGGTCTGTGCCATCTAGTGGTAAGACAAATAAACAGTTTTAGAATCATATACTAAAGAGCTCCTTGCTATCTCTTTTATAATGAATTATGGATTCCTGAATAAAAGCCTTCTACACATGGCACTTTTTAAAAAAAAAAATCCAAATTGCCTACAAGGTAACTCATTTCCTCTCAAATTAAAAGGAAATGTCGGTAAGATGAACTATTGACCATTTCAAGACATACCTGAGTAGTTCATGTATTTCCATTTATTTTCTTTCTGCAATAATTATCAAAGAAATGTTTGATATAATTTCATCTCCAAAAAGTTATACTTGGGGAGGCTTTGACATTACAATTATCTTACAGCAGTTGAAATCAGTCTTTGAAATCGGAACTCAGAGGTAGCAGGCTATAAAGCCCATGGGCAGACAATTAATAAGCATCAGAGTCAGGATTTGAACCCAAGTCTAGAGCTCTGATGCTTATTAGTTATGTGACTCTGAACAAGTGACTTCACCTTCTAAGCCCCGGCTCTCTCTTCTGTAAAATGAGGACGGTATTAATACTTATATTCCCTGCTTTTCAATGTTGTTATAGAGAACATTCTCTTTTCTCCTGGCTCCCCTCCTGATTCCCTGGACCTCTCCAACAGCCTTCTCACCCTCAAGATACCTCTGCCTTTATGATTCCCTCTTCCATTTTTCAGCTCTCTTCTGGGTATTATCTTCTTCCATTAAAAAGTAAGCTGCTAGAAAGTAGGGACTGTCTTTTGCTCGTTTGTTTATATTTATAAAAGCAGCTGGTGGCACGGTGGATTGAGTACTAGGCCCAGAAGCAAGAAGATCTGAGTTCA